GTAGCAACAAACTGAAATTAATTAAATTTGGTGCAGTCATATGTTAAATTTGACTTCCTGAAAAGTTGGAAAGACATCTGCATTTCCTCCGAGTTCTGCATTTGTTACCTGCAGTGATAAAAGCACTGTTTTTATAAACTGGGAGAAAACTCATTTGCCCCTTAGCAATAATAACCACAACACAAATCATTCTGTGCATAAAATAAAATGTCAAATATTACACGTACATGTCTGGATATACGGTATATCTATGTATAAGGACATGGTCTGACTGGTACACACAGAACTAAATGTTCCCCCCTGCTTTGATGCACATATTTCTGAAATGCAAAGAGGCATTATTTTATTTGTATGCCTACCTTAGCCTTTGGTTTCCTGCCACTGTTCTTGCCTCACAGTTTTGATGGTGCTTGTGTATGGAGGTGTAATACTGAGATCTTGAAAATTGGCTTCAGTGTGGCATCACGCGTGCTTTTCTTAGCTGCTCAAGGTACCTGTGAAGAGGGGAATGTTCTTGCCCCTTCACAGAAACAGTTGCCTTAGTTAACGGGGGAATTGCCTTAGTTAAAAGACAAATCGAAAATCAACTGCCTTCAGTTTACTATTTGTTTTACAAAATATATGGAAAGCACTTACATGTATTGTGTTTTACTGCAAAAATGTGTCTTGATCTAGTTACAACGGTAACACTGAGAAATTTTGTAAGTAAAAAGGGATACGAATTCCTTACATTTTTTCTCCCTGATGATATTGATGTAATTTTGATGGCTGCTTTAAAAAAAGAGCACTTAATTTTACCTATTGTGAGTTTCCAAATCTTTTTATTAGAATTAATCTTACTGTAAGCTAATGTGCAACTAAACCACTTGCAGACCTAACTTTATACATTTTCAAGCATTTTGTATATGATAAACTGGGCAGTGGATTCTCTTTAGGAATAAATGAGGATGTGATCCTGCAAAGGTCAGACCATACCAAACTAATAAACTTTCTGCATATAATAGCAAACTGTCCAAAAAACATGTAGATGTGGCACTTCAGGATATGGTTTAGTGGGCATGGTGGTGTTGGGCTGATGACTGGACTTGATCTTAAAGGTCTTTTCCAACCTTAATGATTCTGTGATTCTGTGAAAAAACAATTCACTTCTACGTACATACTCTATTGTGCAAGTATGGAGGCTCACTGCAGTTGAACCGTATCCCGTGATGTCTCTGCTTGCTTGAAGTCAGTCTCACCTTTTGGTGAAACTCATCACCTTCAACTCCAGCTGGGTAAAAAGGTGCTGTATAAAAATTAGGTGCTATAATGCAATGAAGCTGGTGAGGGGGCTGGAGCACAAGTCTTATGAGGAGCGGCTGAGGGAACTGGGGTTGTTCAGTCTGGAGAAGAGGAGGCTGAGGGGAGACCTTATCGCTCTCTACAACTACCTGAAAGGGGGTTGTGGCGACGAGGGTGTTGGCCTCTTCTCCCAAGTAACTAGCGATAGGACAAGAGGAAATGGCCTTAAGTTGCACCAGGAGAGGTTTAGATTGGATATTAGGAAAAATTTCTTCACTGAGAGGGTGGTCAGGCATTGGAACAGGCTGCCCAGGGAGGGGGGGGAGTCACCATCTCTGGAAGTGCTCAAAAAACGTGTGGATGTGGCGCTTCAGGACATGTTTTAGGGAACATGGTGGCGCTGGATTAATGGTTGGACTTGATGATCTTGAAGGTCCTTTCCAACCTAGTGATTGTGTGATTCTGTGATTCTGTGAAGTGCCTTCCATATGAAATCTAGTTCATGAACAGAATGTGTGTGATGCTGATGGGTGCCATAAGTAGCAATAGTCTAATCTAAAAGTGTCAGCAGTGTGTATCGCATTTGGTTACTCTGTGTCCCAAATAAAGGCATGCAATCTTCAGAGCAGATGGTTCCATTTTTTGTCCTAAATTTTGGTCACAACAGCTTTGATTGTTAAGAGCTACTAGGTAATCTCCTCTAGTAAAAGAACATTTTCCCATCAACAGGAGGGAATTTCATAAGGTCAAAAGTCAGTATATTTAACCAAGTTCCTTCAGTAAATTAAAAAATGAAAGGAGGTGAATCGGTGAGTTACACGCTCCTGGGTATGTCTTAAAGTACGTACCTACAAAATTAAACTGTACATTATGTTGAGACAGAGGCATATAATTCATGTCCAGATGCGGAAGAAATTTTCACCCTGGAGATCCCACTGGCTTAAATATGATTGTATGACATACATTTGAGCATCATGTCCATGTTCTTCCAACTGTAATGTGTTATTTTCCAACAATCATACACAGTGTTTGCTTTGGGATAGGGTCCATAGTGATGCATTGAGCCACAGTTTTCCTGGACTGGCAAGAGTATGATAATTGTATTAGATTGCTGGTAGATAATCCAGTAAGGAATACCTCTTGATAGATCCAAGTGGTAAAAAATGAGCTGAAATTTCTTGGTATTTTCCTGTATATTGCAAAAGGTCAGATTTCTGGCAGTCTCATGTTACTGACAGATGTTTAATCAACAAAGCAAAAGATTATTTTGGTCATCCAAGCTAAGGACAAGTACAAAAGCAGGTACAATGTCTTTTTAGAACTGAAGTTTATTGTTGAATAATTAGCTAATGCCAGCATCAAAGCCTTGGGTCCTCTTTTTGTCACATTCCTATTCTCTATGAATGCAAATCATTCATATTATTTACTGTACAATAACTACAGTTAATGCTGAGATAGAGCAATAGGACCAAGTAGTTAAGCACATAAATATATCTTGCCTTTCCCCAGCTTAGGAACATCCTAAGCCTTAAAATTAAGTAGCAATAAGCATTTTCTAAGCATCCTAAATCACAGCAGTTAGTTATAAATGATGGAGTGGTGCTTCTTCAATTAATAAAATGGTACATTGCATCTCTAACTACAAGGTACTAGGATCTAAACACAATTAAAATGATATCATACGCTAAACTGTATGTAATTAAAATATTGAATAGCTTTGATGACCATTTGTGAAGTGAGAAGAATTAAGTTTAAACAGCTTTATATTTCAAACCTGTAGGATTTTTATCTTCTGCCTTAGAAGTGGTTTGCTTAATGAATTTAGTTAATGAAGTCACTAACAAAAGGACTTTTTAAAACACTCAAGACTGAAGGCCCTGGCCTTTGTTCTACCTGAGGTTTAAGTCTTAGGCTGGTCTTTACAAGCTGCTCCTCCCCTCTTCCATTTTTCGGTGCTGCTCAGAGGAGGGCCAGGCTCTGCCCAGGTGGCTGTGCAGGCGGCTTCCCCTCGGCGCCGTCGGACGCTTCCCTCCCTGATTTACTGCTGGGGCGCTTGGGTTATTTTAGCACCTGTGAGTTTCTGAGCTATGTTCACTTCTATTGAAGTCAAGGAGAGAAAACTATCTGACAACTTTTGATGTTAGGCTATTAATCACAGCATAATTTAATTTTAATCCTTTTTTGTCATCGTGTTTATTTAAGTGCTAAAGCCATCCAGAAAGACCCAAACCAACAGGCTGATTTTTAGACTGAGATCAATTACCTTCAATATAGGGAGTTATGAGGATTTCCAGTAATGCAGATTTTACAAGAGCAGTTTCTGATGCTCATGTTTAAGTTTTTCTTACATTCAATCTCTTTAAGTTGATTTATTATGCTTCTTACCCATGACAAGCCTGGAGGCAAAACAAGTGCTATGCTCTTGACAATGCTGAAAGATCATTAGCCCTGCAGTCTTTCCCCTTTTCCCTTTTTTCCCTTTTCCCCTTTTTTCCTTTTCCCCCTTTTTCCCTCACCTTACCATCTTTTCGATCCTAAATCTTCCTCGCTATCTTTACCTTATAGAACATATTCCCCAAGCAACTTGTTGTTCCTACTTTTCTTCAATGGCCTCTTTCCACATTGTTTATGTGGTTCAACAACAGCACATATTCTTAATGAGGACTCTCTGATGTTTAGTGGGTAAGAACAGACATGTCACACATCTCATCAGTGAAGCTTTTCTTATATTTTAGAGTGACATTGCCATTTTTCTCATATGCATATTGTTGATTTACAGAAACAATGCTTGTCAGCTGACTTTTGGCTTAGCTTGCATGAAGGTTAACACGAGATCCCTAATATTGATTAACAGCTTCTTCAGTGTTTTAACTTCTCTCTAACTCTGGTGAATGGTGGTGCAAGTCAGTGTCCAGAAGATCTACTCTCATTTACCAGCAGGAGGTAGCAGAAATCCAAACCTTGTGCAGGCACCACTGTCCTGAGTTTTCCTGTTCTTTGCTGATTTTGTCAGCACTATGTGTGTGTGTGAGTGTGTGTGTAGACTTCATGGTTAGAGGGTGACTTTCTTGTGTTGTGACAGCTGGTTTGCAGGGTTGGTGGGTTGGGAAGAGGTGGTCGGTTGTGCAGTGATGCTTAGGTTACAGGCATTGCCATCAGGCCCCAGGAGAGTCCACACACCTCTCGGCCTTTTTACCTTTTTTGACATCTCCCCATCTCATTCAGCATAGTCGGTAGATGTGTCCTCAGGTCTTTGGCAGCCAATGACTAACGTATAAAAAAACCCTTAATGGTGGTATTTCTGATTAATAAGAGACAATCCTTAAAGACATAATGAAACATGATGTTAGGCAAAAATGGCATGTCACAAATTTATTGAGGCACAGTGCCTGTTGGATACAGGATGCTTGAGCATTTGTTGGATATGTCTTGTGCATAGTTGAGTCTTAACTGTGAATAATAAAATATGTACCTACTGCATGTGGCCTTGTTCAAAGGCCAAATACAGTTAGATACACCATGAAAGATAGATAAAGGGGTCCTGAGAGCTGCTGTTGCAATGTGGTGCAGCAAAAGTACCTGAATATTTTGATCCATGTTTTTCTGATGCACCCTTTTTGAATTTAAGAGATGCAAACAAGAACAATTCTAGCAGAGTCTTCTTTCATACAAAGCAAGGCGCTGCCATCAATATAGCCTTCTCCTCCAATGCTTTGCAGGGCCTGCCCACTGGAAGGAGGTTTTTCCTGTCGCTAATGGAGACCGTCAGTCACCCATCGACATCAAAACTGAGGAAACCAAGTATGATCCCTCTCTCCGTCCTCTAAATCCGAATTATGATCCAGCTTCTGCTAAAATCATCCTTAACAACGGGCACTCTACCAGTGTTGAGTTTGATGATACCGTCAACAAATCAGGTTTGTTCCTTTCCTGTTGCACTGTGTCTTCGTCCACGTTGCCTCAGTGGAGTACATACAGCCTGGGCATGTTTCACTGCCGGGCATGAACTCCTCATAAACAGTAAGGCTTTCTTCCTCTGGATGAGAGATTCTTTTTTTCCCTGTTTTTCACCATGATACAATGTGGGAACATATTTGGACACGAGTTTGAGGTTGCATTTCTCAGAAAGCGCTAGGATTCCCTTTTCATTGGGATGGTTTGATCCACCCCAACCAGCTAGATAGAGCCAGCCCCCCTATTTGAACAGTGTTGTGTACAGTTTTTCAAATGCTACTCTCTCTCACTGCAGATGCATCCTTTGTGTCTCATTACAGGTTCATTCCAACCGAATCACTCAAGTCTCTTATCTGACTTTAGCTGCAAGTTTGCTTATATATTTTTTCCCTTTTTACAATCCATACCTGTACTTCTTGTGTCAGGAAAGAGCCAGTACAGAAAAAATGAAATGTATCCCAAGTGATCCCTTTTCTTCTTTGAAAAATGTTATTGTCCCGGTCTTTTCTACGAGTATGTAGCTTCCCTTTTTGCAAGCATTAATTCTTATTTAGAAGTTCTCTGGTTTAGCGTAGTCTTTGTAATGTTTGTGCCTTCATCTTTGAAACCTTCTCTTGGATGGTAGGCAAGCTAGCACACTTTGCCTTGAAACTGTAGGAGTGCAGTTTCTACAAGCAATAAAATCCTCTTGTGGTTGTGTGAGGCTTAGCTCAGGATCCAAGCCCATGTGGTGCATCCACAAGGGTCAAAGCCAGAGGGGGACTAATTTGTGCTCACCCTGACTGTTCGCCCTGAGGGACTATTGGCTTATAGTGGCAAGAGGGAGAGACTTAGGTGGAGACAACATTACACTTTGCTTTCCCAGACAGTCTTAGTTTAATTCTTAAATTTCCTGTTGATACAAGCAACATTGGATGTTGCCTGAAAGCCATCAGCTGACCATCAGCGATCTGGTCTGACCTCGTGTGTGTCAGATGCCACGGGACTTCCCAGAATTATCTCTGCTTCAAGCCTAGTAGGTATGGGTGAACTAAAGCACATCTCTTAGAAAAACATACAATCTTGATTTCAAAATTTCCAGCGATGACGAACCTACCACAGCCTTTGGTAAGTTGTTCTAATTGTTAATTACCCTCACAGTTAAAAAAATTGAAATCATACTTTATTTCTGGTGTGTGTTAGATCAACTCAGCCTTTAAACTCCTTTTTTTTTTTTTTTTAAAGTCATAGATATGAGTATGAATACACCAAGAACCTCTTCCACTTTCTAACTCCATCCATGAAGTGGCAGGGCCTGAACATAGTACTTCGGTAGGCTTACAATGGTACCAAAGCAGTGGTAATGTAATCCTCTTACTGCTTTCCTCGGGCCATATCTCCAAGGATATAGTTCATGTCATGGCAAAGCACTGACAGATGTTGATCAGATAATTAGCAAATGTAATCCCCAGTCATCTTCAGGAGACTCCGTATCTTCTATGTATGGACTAGATTCTTCAGTCCATATACATGGCTTTATGTTTTGGCCATTGTTATGCCTTACTTATCAAAGAATTCAAATCCTTGTGTATTCATAAACTGAGTTATTCACTATTTTCCCTAATATTCGTCACTGACAAACTTTATCAGTAATGTTTTTGTTTTCTTTCAGGTCATTGGTCAAAAAATACTGAATTTTCTAGGGCCAAAATTTGGCCTCTGTGGCACCCCTGTGAAGTAAGCACTCCTGCCATATAGTGGTTTTATGGAAAAAAAGATCAAATTAATTTTACTAAATACATTAGCATCTTTTAATACATTATTAACTGACTTTCATATGAACTATTTCTTCACTTTGGTCAGCATTGAAACTGTATTTCATGTCTGTAACTGTTTGTGTAATTCTGTTTCTCCTCTTGGGTACCACATTAGCTCCATTCTCTGAAATTGGTCTACTGATGTTTCAAAGACCTCTTCTTGCAGCTCTTTTTAGACTTTGAGATGCTGATATTTGCCTTAAATAGATCAACTGACCTTTTCCTTAATTACTGTTGGAATGGAAGGTTTTACCATCACTGTATGATGTGGCTCAAAGACATCATCAGGCCATTTTCCACATTTTTCAGCAGAAGTATTTCATTTAGTGGTGATGCATTTCTACATAAATGTTTTCCCTCAGCCAGTTAGAACACTGATCTTGATACATTTCTAGGATCATTTGCCTCCAAGTTTTCAGTCCTTGAATGAAGGAATTAGTTTCAGGAGTGCCACTTCCCCATCCCCTTTGTTCACTAGGTTTATAGGCTCTGTAAAAGCATGGGTTTTGAGTTGAAGTTTTAAGGAGATAAACAATTCCACTTCCTTTTCATTAGCCAGGCTACTTGTGTTAGCAGATAGGCAACTTAAGAAATTCTTCTTTTATCTTTATTTGGTGGTATTTCGTTCCTAAAAAAGTTTAGGTTGTGGAGTAAACCTAGAAGAGAGAAAAAAATTGCTATTGTCCTCCCCAGTGCTCTTAATTTTAAAACGATCTGGTTAGAGCTCCCATCCTTTCCCCTTAAAATCTCTATAACAAGCCAATAAACCAGCCCAGACTAATTCCCAAACCCTCAGAGGAGATACAGAGCGGGGAGAGTGGGGTGATTTTTTTGCAGTGAATAAGGAATCTTTCTGAATGCATTCACGTCCACGTCTGTATGCAGAGGTGGTTTGGTTCCAACTCTGATTAGCAAAAGACGAGCACTTGCAAAACTAAAACAATAAAAAGCCCACCCATATGTGTGTTAAGTTGAAATAAAGGGCTAATTAAGTGCCAGTGATATTGCAGTTGTACAATGCATAGGTAGTGTATGCTCCTTTTTCTCCGACGTCAATCTGATGTAACTGGATCTAGTTGCAAATGAAGGAAAGAGCCTTGAAAATTTTTTTAAGCTTGACCTACTTTCCTACAAATTTCAAAGGGGAGAAGAAATTCTGTTCGCATTATATTCTTCTGATCCTCCCCTTTATTCATAAAACCTGTATTTTAAGCTTAATTTCACAGTGATTCTTTTAAATACATTCAAGAGAATGTATTTAAAAAGAAAACCACTTGCAAACCAGAAATATTTTCCCATCTTCTAAGAAATATCCAGCCCATAGCAAGACAAACCTGGTGATAACAACATACCCTTTAGCAGCCCATAACCCGCTCATCTACACATAAATGCAATTTTGAAAGTCATATCCTGGACAAGTGAGGGTTTCTGTAGTACTTCAAAGAAATGGATGGGAAGCCATCCGAGACAGGCTTTGAGAAGGAGCAGGGGACTGCCCGAAGACTGAAGTCTGGTGTGAGGTTAGAGGACGTGGGTAGCGGCTCCCGTTCCTGCAGTGAAGCCTTTCCCTCTGCTTGGGTTTCCAGTGCTGACCGGGGGGCCGCTCAGCGGGACCTACAGGCTGCGCCAGATTCACTTCCACTGGGGGTCCAACGACGAAGCCGGCTCCGAGCACGCAGTGGATGGGATGAAGTACGCGGCAGAGGTAAGGCTTTACATGGAGTCATCTGTACCACTAAGCTTGTGACTAGTTTTCCATTGTAAGAATAATGTTGCCCCTCCTCTTCCCGCTTTTCCTTCTCCCCCCATTTTACCGAAAGACAAGCGGTCTCCCTGAAGTGTTGCGTGTTTGATCCTTTCTCAAAAGAGAACATATTTGAAAGCTTTGGAGAGGATTAAAAAAGGAGTACAGAAGACAAGAGCTTGATAAGAGCAAGACTTAATGTTCAAGAGTTATTTTAATCTTTGTCTTTCACTGTCTCTTCCTTGGAGAATGCTTTCAAAGTCAGCTTCAGTTACAAACCACAGAATTACTTGATCTGGGGCCTGTGCAGTGTAAAATGTGTTCAAGACTTAGGAGTCTTGCATTTTGTGGTGCATGTGGCAATGTGATGGTTATGACCTTCTTTGAGGACCACACCTTAATATCTGTGGGGTGCCTGCTGTCTGTGGAGGTACCGCGTGTCGGTGGAGGCAGCGTGCCCCAGGGAGAAGTGCCCCGTCTGCTCTGGCACGGAGAGTTCGCTCCTGCTCTGTCTCCTTCAGTGTGTTTGAGTAGTCTACGGTAGAAAGTATTCAGTGTCTGATTCCTCTTTGCAAATGGAAGTAACATGGAGTATTTTGATGAGACTGAGATCTTTAACAACAAATAGATCAGACAGTGGAAGAGTTTTCTGGGGTTAAAAAGAAGTAAAAAGTATAAAAATAAATGGTAATGGACAAATAAAAGACGTAATACTAAAGAAGAAAAAAAAATGAAATGTTTGCACAGTGGTGTGATCAGCTTTTACTGGAAATGCTATAAAAGATACTGGTCAGAAAAAAAATCAGTTTTCTAACACTAATGGGGATAAGTGACATTTGCAGTGTTTAAAGGCTTATGTTTTCCACAGGAACCAGGTGAGATGGAATATAAAGAATTAATAGAGGTGCTTTAAAACCATTAAGTACCAAAACCAAATTTCTAGCTGAGAAAATATATATGTGTTTCCCACCTAAGAAACCAAATGGAAGGAGAAAATATCTCTGAATTTCTAGCCAGTCTAAAAACCTTTCCGTTACCTGTTGGTTGGGTAACCTTCCACAAGAAGCTCTCTAGATGTCACTTTGAATTTGGGATAAGAAACCCAGAATTAAGATCAAGGCTTCTGAGCACTGTTCACACAAAAGAAAATACCTCAGAAGGAGACATGAAGATGGTTTCAGTGCTCACCTGCATAAGGAAGATGTGTAAGATTTCAAGAAAAAGCATCAACTGAGCCGAAGAAAGAATTAGTGTACAGGTAAAGAAGACTGCAAGGTTCAGCCCCCTAAGCCCACCGGGAAGCAGAAGGGATCCATGGCTCCATTCTTTGTGACAACGTATGGTCTGATCAAGGTCTCTTCACAAGCTGCAGTGACAGAGCGGTGGTAAGACGGGATATATTCCTTAAAGAGAAGTCGCAAGCCATTGAGAATGGGGCTGTATCCAAAAGTCTTTCACAGCTCTGTTTGTTCGGGGGTTTTGGGATTGGGGGGTTGGTTTGGGGGGTTTTGGCAAAGCTATGAGGGATTGGGCTTTATTTAGTTGCGGGAATTTTCCTTTTTGTTCTTTGTTGGTTTTTTTCTTTTTTTTTTAAATCCACAATAAAAGTCAATTCTGACTGAGAGTATCTGTTTCCTTTTTGTGTATGTAAAAATGTAATTGTCTAAAAGTTGTTCAATGTAGCTTCTGTGAACTTATAATAATGAGTGGTGCAGGCACTGTGAGCTCCAGGGTACTAACGCACCTGAGAATGGTTTAGTGGACTATGTTCTCTTCCCAATTTCATTTGTAATATTCTTATCAACTTTCCTTCAAGGATCTCTGAAGCTGTGAGCCAGCACGTGTTTCAGCATGAGCATACATGAATTATTATTGATTTCAGTGGGATTCCTTAGTTGCTGGAAGTAATGTTTCCGCACTTCAGAGCCCAAGTGTTTAATAAACGTTAGTTATACCCTGTAACACCAAGAGCTCCATTCCACAGACATGGAAAATTGAAACTCATAGAGGTTAGGCAATGATTGAGATTTAGAGTCAAAATCTTCACGCTCTTAGATCCTTATGTCAACCACGCAGCTATGTTGCTTCCCATAGAAAACCTTTAAAGCAAATTCCATCTTTCCTAAATTGCTCTTACTTTAGAGGTCTTGAAGTGCTGTATTCCAAGAGGACGCCTGTTTTTTTTCAGGGGTTCATCCCAGTTTAAATCATTCAGTGGAGTTGCTTTTCAGCACTCCTAAAGAGTAAAGTTCAAAGTCTGAAAAGGTCACCAATTTTAGAAAAGCCAATCCCATGCCCTGCTTCTGAGTCTCTCTTTCCTTATCTAAAAACTACGGGTAATAAGATTTACTAATCCACTGAGAGTATGTGGGATTAATTAATGTTTGCGAAGTGCTGAGTCTTAAGCGCTGTGCGAGTGTGTGTGCTCTCCCCGGCTTGGCAATTGGACCCTTGCTCAAGGCTGGGATATCCTGGCGCTTCCCAGGAACCAGGAGCTCCCGCTGTGGAGCGTGGCCAGGATTTAGGAAACCTGGCTTAGCAGGAGGGACTGAGGTGGTACGGGGGTAGACATCACGGGCTTTTCCTTTCCCCACCTGGCTAGGTGATGTCTTTAAGCTGCTTAAGCAACAGGACAGTTCCAGAAAAATGCATGTTGGAAATGCAAATGCTCAAACCTGAGATAATCAAGCTGCTTGTAAGTGCCTAACTACTGGTAACCACAGAAAATCACATTTGTAAAGTATAAAAACTGAAATTTTTCATGTTCAACTTAAACTAAACAAGGGAAAAGGGGTCAGTGCAAGTTTAATGTGTGCTCCTCTGCCTGTTTTGTAGCTATTTATGTGGCTGATTAATGTTACTGAAAGCTTGATTAAGGAAAAAGAGGGCAACTAATAACATTCTCATGATTTTTAATCACTTCTTAAAATCAGCTGTACTAAAAATGGATTTAAAAGCTTTAATTATATAACTATGGGATATCTTGTCTAAGGTTCTCTGTTCAAAATCTGGGGACCCAACAGCAGTTTTTCCAGGCACTGTAGTGTGCTGATTGCTTAAATTTTGAATAATCCCAGCCACTGGAAATGCTTTTTTTGCCATTTGTGCGAACTCCATATTTACCGATTTCAAAAAATAATTGCATTTGAGAAACTGAATGGCCCTGAATACAAACAAGAGAAGTAGAATATCAAAACCAGTAAAGTTGTAGTATTGATTTGTGACTATTTGAGTTCAGCGGGAGTTGATGCTGTCTGTGTCTCTTGCTTTTCAGCTTCATGTGGTCCACTGGAACTCAGAAAAATATTCCAGTTTTGTTGAGGCAGCCCGCCAGTCAGATGGATTAGCAGTCATGGCTGTATTTCTGAAGGTAAGAAAAAAGTGTTCTTCAGTTTGCCTAGTCTGCGCTCCTGTACAACATGAGATGTGGAACTTAATTCAGCTGCCCCTAACAAGCCAATAACTTGTACTTGACTAACAGGTTTCTTTAGGAGAGCAATCTGATTTGGTTCAAATACCTTTTTAATGGTTTGTTTCCAAGCTGGTAGTTTCTTCTAAAAAAAAAAATAATAAAAAAAAATAATTAAAAAAAAACCAAAACACCTAAACCCAGAAACTGGAGAATTTCCTTATAATTTTTATGTATCTCTTTACCTTTCGTACCTATTCTAAGATGAATTTAAACTCTTGCAACAGCTTCATTGACTTCTGTATGAAGAAGCAGATGGAGAATTGACACAATCCATGACAAAGGACAGGGCTTGGTTTCTGCTGGGCTGCCACAGCTTCCTGAGCACAGCTAGTGCTGGCGCTGGCACAGTCAGGGAGCCATGACATGCTGCAGCTGCAATGAACTGCTTCAGTAATTCTCTTCTACCAGTTTACATTATAATCATTCAAAGAAAGTTTCAGTGGATTTCTTAGCACACGAATCCTGCTTGGAATACATAAGAATGATGTTTTCACTGTTTTAAGCAATTTAAATTTCAGATGAAAGCTTTTAACTTTTAATGTCCTGCGTATAAAACATGAAAAATAAATTGCTTTTATTCCCCCGCAGTGTAAAGTTTGTGGGTCTTTTGTAGCTGAAATAATTATTATGAGTAGCCAGAATAAATACCCTCAGCAAGGGAGTGGATCTTCTTTACAACCAGTACTATTTTTCTAAGGAGCTAGTCACAGGCTCATACTCACAAAATCCATCAGATCTCACAGTCACTTAAGTAAAGTTATATAAATCAGTTTCATTACGCATTTGCTTTTTGATAATTTTTTTTTTGCTATTTTTCTCTGGAACCCAAGTATTTCTTTTTTCTCTGGTGTTAATAGATTGGTGAATGCAACCCTCAGCTGAAGAAGATTACTGACCGCTTGGACACCATCAGAATCAAGGTCAACAAATACTTCTAAAAGAATACTAGTACTGGTGGTTGTTTTTGTTGTTTTGGGTTTTTTGGGTAACCTGCCTCCTACTTCCTTCATCTTCATGTCCCTTAGTCTCTAGTTTCATAGCTATCCATATGTAACTCTGACTTGGGACAGTTTAAGAGCATTCTTCTTAGGTGAAGTTGAAAACTAAGCAGACAATAATTTTTATACAATAAGAGATCAGAGGAAAAGGCTAATTCCTCACAGAACCTAGTCTCTGACAAATCTGTTGCTATGAGAATGGTAACAGAAGAACATACTTTATGGAAAACTGTGAAAAAGATGAGGGAAAGGTTTTCTCCCCTGTTCTGCTGAGGTACAGGGTAAGAAAGAAGCTATTGTGGTGTGAGATAAATCAGCCAGACTCGCAGCATCACGTTCATACAGGCATCTCTGGCTTGGTAGCCGGAACAGGGAGGACCCCGTGGGCCTGGAAGGGGTGAGTAGGGGGGGAGAGGGTGGCAGTGACCTGTGGGGTTGCTCTGCCAGCCCCATAGAGACCACGCTGAAAGTCTAACATGTTCTCACCTCTCCCTCCAACCTCCATCCCGTGGTCATTTGTAACTATGGGGAGCCTATTGCTGACATGGCACCTTTGGTGGTGTCCTGGTGGCATCAAGGATAACAGCAGCAAAGCTGCCGCAGAGGTAAGACCTCATTAGAGGGGTACTGGCTTACCTGCCATCATCATCCAGGATGCTGCCAGCCCACCCCATACTGGAACAAGCTCTACCTCCTTTGGCATGGTTTATCTTGGCTTCTTGCTTTTAAACAGTATTGCCCCATTTTTTCTTTTTCTTTTAACTTTGCGTAAGAAATAATTTTTTAAATATAATTAACCTAGGATCATAATGATTTTTTTTTTTTTTTTTCCCCTTTCCAGGGTAAAAGAGCACTATTCACAAACTTTGATCCTAGTTGTCTGCTTCCCAAGTCCCTGGACTACTGGACTTACTTTGGCTCTCTCACTGTTCCACCTCTTCTTGAGAGTGTCATCTGGATTGTCCTGAGAGAGCCCATAAGTGTTTGTTCTGAACAGGTATTTTCTGATTTTTCACTGCTATAGAAATGTTGCTTTTGTAAGACTTTAAATTCTAAATGCCACCTAAAAATATATTTTTTTGCAGATCTTGGCATTGCATACCTTATCAAATTTTCAAAGGACAAAATGTGTCTATCAGATTTATCCTGACTTTCTTTGTGTAACAGCTATTTATTATACATTTTTAAAAAAGAATCTGCATACTCTACAAATTAACAGTCAAAAATAACCCACAAGGAACCGACAGAAAAATAGGGTTCTGGTGACACTTAGAAATCCTGGAATTCCACTCGATTAGATTATTTGCGTATCCTGCTCAAATCTCTTCTCTGGCATTTTTGTTTGGCAGACCAAATTTCTTCTTGCATTCCAGATGTCTAAATCTTGGTGAATTTACTAGAATAATGAAAAGCAAATACAGTTTTAATAAGTTGGTTTTTATGTTAGGCTATCTTAGGAAAAGTGTGGTACCACATAAAAGAGTATACTTACATTTCTTGTTAAATTAAGCTTCATGCTATATATTAATGTTGCAACAGTGACACCCTGTGGGCTGATCATCTTAGATATAAAGAGTTTTTCCCACTGGAGACACTGAAGTATGTCAGATTATAGCTTCTAATATTGGATGCTGATAAGTACATCACCTGCAATATTTTATCAACAATCTGGACACACTGTAAACCTTAATGTTTTTATACCACGGCATTTGTCTCATTCATGGTCAATATTACAAATACCTCAGAAAATTCAATACCCTAGGCCACATATTCAGCGGAAATGGTGACTTCAGTCTTTATGTAAAATGTTAAGACAGTTCACTGAATGGGGTGCTTCTTAGTCAGGAGACCTCAAATTCTCTTTGTAACTGATTTGAAGTCGTGTATTTGCTCAAGTGTGTGCATATTTTCTCATCTGTCTTTCTTCCCCACTCCCCTCAGTTTGGCTTTGTAAGACTCGCTGCCATGCGTATGGATCTAGGATTGAAAATTTGTGTTAAGATGTCAACATCCCAAAGCCAAGCCACTGTTCAGGTTAAAGGATTCTTATCTGGGCTAATCTATAGCGAATACATTTTAAAATGTGAAATACTGTATGCAAATGCCCATGTATAACAGGTTCAGAGGACATGGTGTCAGAAACAATGTCAAATACAGTGCTCCTTTACTAGTGATTTTTCAGATTGTAGCTGTATCTTCTGTATTAAAGTATAAATGTGCTATATGCTTATAAACATAAGCATATGTGTAGCTAAAAGTGTTTGTTTCCAGCAATGTCTACCATTGTGATTGATCAGTCGTCACCATGCCTGATACTGTTTTGCCAGTTAATTTTATTCCTCAAGTTTTTTACTTTGGGCTTTACCATTTACTACCTATTTTTTAGTGTGCTTTGAAGGTTGAAAAAAGTTAAAAATAAATTTTAAATTTTTAGAAACTCAATAAGGAGCCTGAATTACAAATGTTAGCTTTAGAATGGGGTGAAGTAACATAGTATTGGCTTTTTTTTCTCTCTTAATGCAATAAAGATGCAATGTGCAATACAACTAAATGCTCTGTTATAATGTAATGATTTTTGTGCTGTCCTACTCTTGGTAACCGAGAAGGGAAATAAGGTGGTATATAGAAATACTAAATATTGGAAATACTAGAAAGTAGACAAAATACTAAACTTCAGGTCAGAAATCAGACTCAGGTTTAGAGGTTTAGACATGGAGCTCTGATCTGGGTTTCTGCTGAGATCAGCTTAAGCAGAGAAGCTTGTGCTGAGGTATGAATGTTGACACTTGTTTTGTGTCTCCACAAGGGAAAAATCTGCAATCTCTCCTGGTTTGAGTACATTTAATATATCAAAAGTGCTATTTACAGGAGCTTTCTATAGCACCACACCTACTATTACAGGTTAACTGTGAATGTACTCTTTGAACAAGAAGATGTACACATAAGAAATCTGATTTTTGGCATGAAACATTCCAGAATCTCTGAACTATAAAATCAAACTAAAAAATATGAAAAACCCTGTTTTAGAACAGGTTATGGAAGATAAAGTGTGAATATAGGAAACAAATAATCCTTATGCAGTTTCATTCTGACACATATTTTGGGAGATTTTCTCGGTAGTTGTTGTTTTTCATTTGCAAAGACAGAAATGGTGAAATTGCCATTCCCCACATGCCATAGAAAAATACAGTTCCATTCTTCCCGGCAGAAGAAAGGTGACGAGTATCTTTAATACTTACTACATGCTTTTTCGTTAGTACGAGCTTGCTGAACCTTATGTCTGTTTTGATTGCAGCTAGCCAAATTCCGCAGCCTCCTGAGCACTGCTGAGGATGAGGTCGCCTGCTGCTTGCTGAGAAACTACCGGCCTCCCCAGCCTTTAAAGGGACGAGAAGTCAGAAGGAACTAAAGGAGTAAAGCCAGAGTAGTCTCCCTCTGAAACCAAAGGCTGAATTACTTTTAATAGTTAATATACTTTATGATTTTTAATTTTTTTTTTGGCGTTGTTGTAACAAATAGGTGTTGTTTTATTATTGGTTACTGTGCAGTCATTTCTTAAAGAGAAGTATGCCCTGAGTTGTTGCAGGTTCACCAATGTTGACAGGTCTGACTGTGTTTGAGTGCGTTGGTTTGGGAGCATTGAGGCATTAACGTTACAGGCACGGAGGGCAGCACTAACCATAAGTGTCAGATGTGGTGAAGGAGTCATCCAGAATTTGCCACTAAATTACTGAACAGGATTCCTGATATTAATGGCAGCAGAGGATGTTCTGGGATTATTCTTCTGGTCTCTAACATAACATTTAGCTTCTATAGAAAACTTCACACTGTAATTCTCAAGAAAAAAATATTTCAAGGCTGATATAATTTCTTTGCTGACTTCTGCAATACCACGCTTACCTTCCTACAGAAAGCAGTAGTGACTAGCAGCATTTAAGTATAACAGATACTTAGATGATCCTGTTGTTGTGACTGCTTCATAGCAATAATGACATACTGATTGAATTTTTTTTTAAAAAGCAAATAGTAAGGATTTTGTATGTGGTGGGATCATGTCAGGTGGATTAAGTATTCCTGTATTCCACTACATATACCGATGAAATTGTTCTGAAACCTGCAACCTGCAAGGTGGAAGGGCACAGAGGGACTGTTTGTTCATGCCTAAACTCAGCCTGTTGCATTTGGTGAACAATAAGGGACTGTAGCACTATACCCATGTAGCACCAGGCTCCTACCACTTAAAATCAGGAGGCAGGGGTAGCTGTTGCTCCAGACTGTTTCATGCTAGACACGCTGCCGCGTGACACACATGCGGCGTACCTCGCATCTTGCCGTTAGAGCACAGCGCTACCCTGGTATGTAATGTCTCCCAGGTACTGGCTGACGTCCTGCTGTCATAGCTGAACTTGGGAGGTTGCATTTATATCCCAAGACCAAAGATTGCAGTTAGAGTAAACCAAAGAAATCAGAATCAAGTCAGTATCTAATAAAAGATCAGCCCTCAATAGCAATGTGTTTAAAAATGTCTTTATGAACTGACTTGAGCCTGTGTTTCTCTCAGGAGCTTTTTTTATCTGAATACAATTGTTTGTTTTATGCCAAATATATTTTTAATATTTTTAATGAACTTCTCATATGACGTAGCTTAGTGTAGGATTAGATTTACCCTCAGACTGTGAGACTTACATAGTGAAAACCAGTGATAGCTGAAAGAGGCAGCTAGCGGTTTCATGGGCAGTGACTACCACCAATCTCTTGGTCAGTACTTCTGACCAAGCTCATCTTCCACGACTGCTCTCCCTGAATTTGCTTTTTCATACGTTTTATAGACTGTGCCTGTTGCCTCAACAGGTCTTTTGATCTTAGATGGACAAACAGAGGGAAATAAAAACCAGGATTGACTTTATGTACCTTCTTATAACTCAATAAATTAGACATAGAGACATAGATATTTTAGCTTAGTTTAAGATAGGTGGATTTTTTTTGTCTTTTCCTCCCCAGAATATAGCTACTATTGCTGCAAGGCCTCTCAATGCCTTCTGAATGTTTTCTGAAGGAAAGAAATGGGAGAAATAAAAGGCATTTGCAGCGGCAGCAGGTACAAGTACAACCAAAGGGGAAAAGCCTGCAGGCACTTTTTGTTTTCTGGCATAGGGAGAAGGTGGCAGCTGAAAAGACCTCAGGGTGGTTCTTTCTGAATGAGGTTATCTGGAAAGTGTGCATGGAGAGAGCGGGAGTGTGTCGCGTGTTTTCACACCCTTTTTTAGATTTAGTGTTGTATCTGATATGTATCCCTGTCACGTGAGTAGCTGCAGAACATGAAGAAAATGTTTATAAATTGCAGGAGGTTATAAAGTTTGTTTGCCTGAGAATAGAAAGTAATAAGGCTACTGCTTCATATCAGAGACAGAAGTTTTACATATTTTTTATGTATTGAAAACAGTGGAGTTGATCCAGTGCTTTGATATTTATAAGAATTTTTTCAAAATAAAAAATGGATTTTATGAATGTGTCTTGTATTTTCTATCAAAGAGAGTAAAGTTTTACAGAGGAGGTTGCAGTTTTATAACTAGCGCCTGCAGCTCTAGTTTTGGAAAGAATAGTCACCCTTCATTTGAACTCTATCTTTAGACTTTTCCAAGTAAAATGCCTTTGGCAGTGGTACGACATGCAATCAATTGTACATAAAGTTTCACACAGCACTTTTTTGACTATTGACTTATTGACTATTTATATAGCGTTATGCAAATGAGTTTTAGAAGAAAACATCATTCACAGTAATTCTCCTAATGTGGAGATGCTGTGTTCACATTAGATTGACCTAGCACGGTACTGCATCTGGGCTGAGAGCTAGTGGTGGCATCTGGAAAAGACTAGAAATGCTAAGTTGCCTGAAATCCTTTGGGAACAGCTTCCCGGATTATCTCTCTGCTGCAACGGTAAGGTGAGAGCATGGACCCAGTCTCGGCAGTGAGCACTTGGTTTGCATCTTCAGTCACTAACTTACTCTATGGCCAGGCTGCACTGAATCTCAACCAGACTACATGACGTGCTCCCAGGGAATTAAATCTTAAGTGTGGGCTCTGTGCTGTACTAACATGACTCTAGAGCAGCAAGGCTAAAATATGTCCTCACCCTGGCAGCTGCAGGTCTCTTTGATCATCTTTTTACCCTCTGACACACTTGGAGCCTTTATACTAAGAAGAATGAAATGCTCAGTGACCAAAAAACATACAGGGTATTTGCTGAAAATAGTACCTGTCAAGAACTGTATATGGCTGGATAGTTGTTCACCCATAAACTTCTTCTCAGAATGAAATAAACTGCAGTAGAACCTTGGGGTCAGCTCTGGTTTGGGCACAGCGGGGAAGCAGTGTGCTCTGCTGTGTTTATAGCCTTCGCCAGTCATGCTCATGATGTCTTTCATGTTGCAAAGACAGCGTTTAACATCAGCTTGAGGATTTTCTTCATGTCAAAGAAGAAAACTGGGAAGTAGCAGTCTTTCCTTCTGGAGTATGGTGGGCTGAAGATCAAGCAGACATCTGTTGGCAGCCATACATCCACTTGCTACATACCTGTGGGTTCTCTGCCCTTGCAGAGATTTGTCTCTCTATTGCTTCAGGAAGCAGGACTGTGCTGGCCTTCCAGTCATGAACTGGGACCTAAAAGAATTCAGGGAATAAATTCCAGGAAAAAACCCACAAGTCTTCCAAATAGGTGATTTTAAAATAACTTTACTGCAGAAGTGGAATATGACATGTACATGGTGTAACATAATAGAAAGAAATATGTAATACATTTTTAATAAATTTGATGGATTTTTTATAAACTTAATGGAAAGGGAATTTGGGATTAAGACTCTTGTAGCTTTAGGTAGGCAAGGAGCATATTGCTAGAGAAAAATCTTGCCTAGCTTTCAGATGTTATAAGTTGCAAATAATTGAGAGAACACCTGCAGGTTGCAGCCTCAGCATGAAGATATGAATGCCAGAGGAATGCTGCTCGAGAGACCTTTTTTCTTTTATTATCCATTAACTAGTATATAAAAGCATTGTGACAATCTCCTTTTTCACTCTGCTGCTAGATAGACTGCGTCTAACTTCTGGCCTAACCTATACTTTGTTGTTTCCCCACTCTCTGATCTTGCTTTGTGGTTTTAGCTGTGGAGTAAAGAGTTTGTTCCATTTTTGTTTTTAATTACCATTGCTTGCCTATGCTCAGTTTTCTTTGATTCTTCTTCCCTGGCATCTCTTTATGACTTAGGAGAAAAACCCTGACTTATAAAGCATCCTACAAAAACCCAGTAGCGTTATATTTCCACCAATGTTCTGCACATATAGATAGCCTGCTTGTTTTTCCTATGAAGTCTTGTTATTTTTTGTTTGTACAGATCTAGCCTAGATAGAGTTTTGTTCCATGAGTTAATCTCTTAGATACTGTTATTTCCGTACCTTCTATTCATTAAGTGCTTACTCTCTGGACAGATGGCCTTTTCTGGGTGTCTGCTGTCTTTGTGAGACAGGAGATAATGTTGAAGTGCTTAAACAAAAATGTTTCTAAATTAAAGTTTTGTTTCCCATTTCTGTCAACCTCTCCATCATTCATGCCAAGTACAAGTTTTCACTGTGGTGAAAGATTTGCATGTGTGACCTGTGTAGGCTTCTCTTGTGCAGCAGAGTCTGGGGACAAGGGATGTGTCTGACGAGAGTACTGGATTTTCCTGTGAAAACAAAAATTCTCTGCCTCCGCTTAACAGAAATTATGTGCTGCACAGTCAATTCCTATGTCACGTCTATTTTATGAAATTTTGCCTACATACTTGGGTACATATATTTGAATAATTTGTAGATGCTCCTGACAGCTTCATTTTTCAGATGTAAATCATACCGGTTGCATGAAACAGATGATAGATGAAATATATTTTTTATGAAGATACGATTTAATTTTTTCTGTCTCTCATTTGAAAATATTTTTAATAAAGCATCAGCAGTTTAAATGTCAACATTTTGCTTCCAATTCTCTTTTCTACAGTTGTATGAACACCAGACAGAAATATGCTCTCGATAAAATAATTTTTTTAAAAAAACAGCACTGTTGCATTTTTGAGGAAAAAAAGGAACCCAGTCATCCTCAGTGTTTTTCAGAGAGTCTGTTCTTGATTTCTGTTTTCCCTTTGTCCAGGTTCTTATGTAATTTGTGATTTCATGACTAAATAGTTTACCTGGAAATCACGAAGGATCTCAGCATCCAAACATGTGTTCCAAAACTGTTTTATGTAGAAAGCATAGGTGCCTATATATGAATAGCTGAAATAATGCTTTGTCCCCAGGTCTGCAGATGGCAGTAGCAATCCAAAAATTGCTGAAGATTATTTAAATAGTATTTGTTACCTATTTCATTGCAAATAAT